CACTGATAGTGTGAGAAAGCAATTAGTAAATCAGAAACTTACTGCATTGCAATCACCCCGTCCTTCTCCTGCCAAACAGAGTAATGGACATGCTTCTAAGTCACATGCCTTGCCTCGCCAAAGATTATCACACTGGCAGAAGCCATCCTTACAAGTGCCCTGATCAGAACATCCCTGGGTACAATTCTCTATTGTGTAGTTAGCAACAAAACCTTTAAGGGAGTAGTTGAGGTCACTGTAAAGATTGATCAACATCTGCAAGAGAGAAAGCAACAATCATTCCCTGTGGAGGTCAGATTCCCCAGGGTTTGCTCACTCCCAATTTTCTTGATTGATAGCCCAAAAATGAAGGGGAGACAACAATGATGATAGGTACATGCTGATAGGCACATGCAAAAAACACCCATTGAGTGGATAAAGCTAGTTACAGCGATTGATATTGGAAGTATACCAGATCAAACACAAACTATTAAATGAAACTGACTTTTTGACTGTCTTTGTTTTTGCCATGATGGGTGGGAAATCTGACTGTGACAACACCACAACTCATTCACTATGTTATACGTATGATACTGTACATTGTATGTATAAAACACAATAGAAGAGACTTTAGAGCACAGCAATGAAGTTTCTAATACACATACATCTAGAATATTTATGTTACTACCCCAGCGTAAACGTAACACATGCAAATAATTAAAACTTTCTAACTTGTAATTTATTTACTAGTTTAATTAATATCTATAGGCAGCAGCAATGACAAGTATTTGTTGATTAAGTCAGGTTGGGCTGAACAGGAAATTAAAAAGTATTTGACTTCTAGTCATTTTGCAAGGACCTCACAACCCCACCAAGCCAAACATTTCTCTGACAATCCTGCCCCTTCTCCCAACTCAGTCAACAAGCTCAGCTATTTCCCCCTGGGGGACTCCCATATGAAAAGGTCAGGGATGCTTGTTGGAAAATCTGAATTAAACCCCTAAAGGAGACCAATCTGGGCGTGGCTGGAGCTTTATTTGACTCCTAAAAAATGCCACTTAAAATGGAATAGGCTTGACTACCAGCTCCTGTTTAGGAGAGGAGCCTGCACTAGAGAGAGAGACCAGTTGAAATCAGGCCTAAAAATGGAAATAAGATCATTTCTTTTATTGTTATTTCATCGTGTGCACCCTAAAAGATACTTTGACAGCCAAAAGTAGTGCTCTTTTGTCATCAACACCCTAAATGAGACCAGTATCCTTGATTTATACCACTAAGCAAGATGATAAGCATCCTCAACCTTTTCATATGGGAGTTCCTCCCCCTGGGTTATTTCCATCCTTGTAAAACTACAGTTGTGGAGGTGCAGTTGCCTCGTGGTTTGTG